CCTGTAAGAGAGGGCCCCCCAAAACATAGATAAAAAAATCTAATTTCTGATAGCATGAACCAGAAGGCAAATCTTAAGTGGTCCGGCCCAGGTTTAGGGGCCTCCACACCTCTAAATCCGGCCCTGATTATCAGCTTTCATACAGACCCACAGCTGGACCGCTAATTATAAGGAAAACCATTAAACTGACCAGATGGATCTAGTACATATTAGTGAGCATTAAAGACACCAGATATAAAAATTTGGACACTCATACGATGACCGAAAATTATGAAAGTTGATAGATCTTCATTATTGTAAACTGTATTCGCTAACTACATTGCTACCAAGCTCTTGAAGTAATAAAGTATTATTTCAATCCAAGATCTTATATTGCGACATGATTTTCTTACTAGCTAACGATAAATATTAATATATATCTAGATATATACAGAATAACATATTCAATTACGAGAGAAATGCTAGTCACACCAGCCAGAAATCCATGGAATATAAATGGGAAAAATGTAAGACATACAGTATTACAATGGTTAATTTTCTTGCATATATGTATTAAGCATGTCATGGTGACTACTAGAACATTTTCTGCATTCTTGACAAGGTGAAAATCTACTCACATAAAATTTTCAGGCTTCAACAATTGCGACTCTACATGTATGTATGAAAGTTATACAAAGTATTTTATAATGCCACTTGTTTTGTTATATCCATAGTCAACTTTGCTCTGTTCCACCAACATTAACATTCCATTGAAAAAAAAAATCTTTTCCGTTAAATCAATTCAAGAAACCGTCGTTGTTTCACGACTAGCCAATGCAAAGAGCAAACTCTTTTCAAATTCATACATAAGTAATATCAACCGATCAAGCAGCGCGGGCGCAGCCTCTAGGCAGCATCGGCAACTTAATGCAAACTGCAGTTCCCACGATCATGGCTTCTTCGGATGTTTACCGAGACTTGTAACTGTTTTGAGTCTTTATTGTTTATAGCTTTTGTGGACTGGCTGGAGGTAATAACAAAATTTTGACGGTATTAAACGAAAGAAGTCTTACCTACTAAGAAATGTCATCAAACCGTCTACTTTTCTTTTGACTTTGAACACTAAAACACGTTAAAAAAAATATAGGTTTTTGTGCGTAATCGTGCAACGAGAGAATAGGTATAAGCTAATAGCGCAGCTTTTAGACCAGGGTCGATAATTTTTGAGACCAAAAAAATTATAGTAGGATGAAACCCATTAGAAAAGGTAGAGAATATAACAAAAATGAAAGGAAAAATAAATTACGGGCGATCTGAGGTCGGGAAGGGGGAGGGGGTGAGTTTTTAAGGGTAAAAAATGGTTAATCTCGATTTCCGGTAAAACTGCAAGTCCTATGAAAAAAAGTTAAATGGCAAAATTGTAGGTAATAAAAAGATCTACAACTTTTGTATCGACACTTTTTTTCACATAACCTCAAAATTTATGTGAAAAATGCGAATAACCGAGTTTTTGGTTTTTGATTTTTATTTTTTGCAAAAAAAATTTTTTTTCACGAAATTTGGTGAAAACTTACCTTTGTATGTCACAAACATACAGTAATTTTTTTGATTTAAAATATTCATTTTTTCGCCTTATTGACTTAATATCCAAAAAGCACCCTAATTTTCAATCGAAAATTCTCACGTCAAAATATCTGCTTTTTTTAAAAAGTTGGGGTGTTTTTTATTTGTTGAAATCTCTACTTTCTGATGGTATAAAAAAAATATACATTACTATGATAAATGTTCTCAGAAACTGCAAATTAATAATGAAAAAAACTCCAATCCGAAAAATTGATTTGAATCATTATGTATAATTTTGAACTATTTATTAAAATTTACACTTTAATTACTCGAAAAACGTAAGATTTCATGTTATATTGATAAACAGAAAAATTACAAATCCATAAAACATGCAAAAATAGTTGTTGTAAGTAGGTATTAAAAATAGGATTTTCGGATTGGAGTTTTTTTCATTATTAATTTGCATTTTCTGAGAACATTTATCATAGTAGTGTATATTTTTTTTTATACCATCAGAAAGTAGAGATTTCAACAAACAAAAAACACCCCAACTTTTTTAAAAAGGCAGATATTTTGACGTGAGAATTTTCGATTGAAAATTAGGGTGCTTTTTGGATATTAAGTCAAAATAAGGTGAAAAAATGAATATTTTAAATCAAATAAATTACTGTATGTTTAGGACATACAAAGGTAAGTTTTCACCAAATTTCGTGAAAAAATAATTTTTATTGCAAAAAATAAAAATCAAAAACCAAAATCTCAGTTATTCGCATTTTCACATAAATTTTGAGGCTATGTGAAAAAAGTATCGATACAAAAGTTGTAGATCTTTTTATTACCTACAACTTTGCCATTTAACTTTTTTTCATACGACTTGCAGTTTTACCGGAAATCGAGATTAACCATTTTTTACCCTTAAAAACTCACCCCCTCCCCCTTCCTGACCTCAGATCGCCCGTAATTTATTTTTCCTTTCATTTTTGTTATATTCTCTACCTTTTCTAATGGGTTTCTTCCTACGACAATTTTTTTTCACTTTTCACCATTTTTAAAATTATCGACCCTGGTCTATTTCCACTTTGTCACAATACCTATGTATGTTAGACATTTATTATCATACTATTATTAAATTTGAAAGTTAGCATGTCTTTTATTCAATCACGCAAAAACTACTAAACAGATTTGGGTAAAATTTGGCACGGTTTATGACTTGGATTGACATAGGATACTTTTGATCCCGGAAAAATGTTAGGTTCCTGTGAGAATTTCAGAAAAACCAAAGTTAACGCGGATGAAGTCGTGGGCAGCCGCTATGTCTTATAAAAAGTATGAAGAGGTTTGGTGGGCGCTTATGTAATTTTTGAATAAGTTTATGTCATAATTATATTTTTGTTGTGAATGTTTGTAGAACAGCGTAATAGATGGGGTTGCCTGAAAAAATAAAGCATCAAATCGAACACCCCATCACCCCCTAGAATTAAAACATCAAGCAGGTGTTTGCCAGAAGCTGGCTTATCAATTCCAGGACATTTGCACCCCCCTCCCCTCTGGAAAGTAAAACATCACATCGAAACCCCCATCACCCCCCAGAATGAAAACATCAAGCAGGTGTCATTCGTTATTAGCTTATTTTGTTATGAAACTAGAACGTTTTCGGAATCCGGGACAATAAGGTCTTATTACTGGACACGGGACAACACGCAAAATTCCGAGACAATCCCGGAAATCCTGGCCATCTGGCAACCTTAAATAGGCTACGATAAATAAGACTGAAAAGACATAGGTAGTAAAACAAAGTCTTAGCCCAGTTAAGTACCTACAGTTCGAAATGAAAAATTAAGCGATTAGTACAAAAACACATCAAACAAATCTCACTAACACAGATTGTTACAGTAAAAAAAATATACCATCCATGTGAACGGTCCCGAATGGCGTGCGGCGCGGGCGTGACACCGCCCAGGTTCGACTCCCTGCAGGCACCATTAGGGCCAATAACCATCAGTCGGTAGCAGTGGCTCGGACCGCTAATTTTCTCTAATTTTCCTATCAAAACCGATACGCTGCGTTATGTTTTGCTGATTTGTTCCAACTTTTTTGCGTTCGTCCACATCGGTAAGTCGCAGGACCGTGAGAACGGCCTTTGTTACGTAATTGCGGATTTTTCGCGAGCCCTTTTTGCATAACGTCTTCTGTGTCGATCGTTATTTGTGGAGGTTCGAATGACTTCGTTCGTTCGATGGTGTGGGAATGATCCGCGTTTTTTTTTATTTGCGCGGATTTTAGTTTTCTTTTTAGCTTTGTTAGCTTATGGATGTCCACTTGATGTGAATTGAGGCATTTTTTTTAAGTTTCTGTAATTAAATGTTGATGAAGGAAGTTTATCACAGAGCCCACAATAAAGCTACCGCCGTCCATTCGTCCATCTGTCGGTCAACAAATTGTAGCTCAAGTGAAATTGACGAAGAATAATAAAAACAATGAAGCTCATGTAATGGCACTAAAAATTTCAATAATCGATTTAAATATTTAAGACTTTAGTGTATGATAAAAAATTTAGAAGGTAACGTACAAGTACCTAGTAATTACTATTGGATTTATCTTAAACGTGTCAGGTTTTTGCGTAAGTATTTAAATGATTAACGAATTGGCCTCGCCAATTCTCCGCAAATTGCTTTGTTGTCGAAAATGAGTAACTATATCGATTTTTACAGTGTAATTGAAGGCAGTAGGAATGTAATGCATGTAGGGTTTAGTTTTTGATTGTAATAGGCATAAAATAAAACATATTATAGTTTTGCAGACATGACAGTTCATTAAAAAATGACTTAGGTATCTTTATATAAAATAATAACCCTAATCCTTGGTCACGCCACAACTTGAGAATGACTCTACTGATTTCATGTATCTTTTTAGGGTTCCGTAAACAAAAAGGTAAAAACGGAACCTACTTATTAACCTAGATTACTCTGTCTGTCCGTCTCTCCGTAGGTCACGTGTCTCTAGATCGTAAACGGAATGAGTTACTGAATTGCAATTTTGGTATATACATTTCCTAATAGGTAGGTTCTCAACAAACCTTATTTGGAAGTAATTGAATTTCTTGACGTAGACTTGCTGCTGCTGCCTGGTGGAGGATGGTAGGGACAGGGGCAGGGGCAGTGTCAGGGGCAGGGTCAGGGGCAGGGGCACGGGTGGTCAGGGGGGGGGGGGGTATACAAAAGTTCTTGTAGTCTCCTCAGGTTCGAGTGGTCTAGAGGCTCCAGACGGAGAGGACTCCCTCCGTGGGAGATGCCATCCACCTGAAATACCTCTAGAGGCACTTGCCAATTCTCGGCTTGAGGTTCCAGGTGACGCTGTGAAGGTCATCTTCAACAGCATACACACTCAAAAAAGTTCCTATAGTAACGCGGAAGAAATCGCATGCGCAATATGAAATACAAATAAGGTTCTAAACAAACCTTGTTGGAAGTAGTTGGATTTCCTGACGTAGACGCAGACTAGGGCCATGAGTTGGAGCTGCGAGAGCCGCTGCCTGGTGGAGGGTGGTAGAGGCAGTAGGTCCCTCAGGTTGGCGATCTCTGCGTTGATTAAGTCCCGGCGGAGCTTGCTTGCGCCTTTCGTTGATTTGCCTTGGTCGAACCTGGGGAGGACAGAGGACATATTTAATGAATGGAAAATAGATATAAGATGTAGACTTGATGCTTAAAATTTACAATCCAAATTACCTTAACCTACTTAACTACTTTAATAATTTATAATTCACAAAATAAAAAATATGTCACTCCCAGCGCCGCCGTCAGGAACGGTGCCCAATAAGCTGGCAGTATTGCCGCGTTGGATGGCAAGGCTGATCCGTTGACCAAGATAGCTGCCAGCCTGTTGATCACCAACAGCCGCCGTTCCTGCAGCTAGGGAGGTACTACCTGTATGGCACGGAGCAAGCATATCCATCGATTCCGTAAAATACCCCGTTCGACAAAGTCACCCGCGCCAACGCGCCTCCGACTCCTCCCACATAGGCCACAAACACCAAAATTACACAGCTAGCAAACTTGCACACTAGCTTAGCATTAGGCAGACACCGCACCCGTAGGATAAGAGTGCGAAGACCCGGTCTACAAACGACACGCCACGCTACACCAGGTACAGGTATGTATCTGGGCGTTTTTCCGCGCCCCCCACGACAAAGGCTAACTTGAGCCGAGGTCAGAGTCTCAGAGACGACGTCTCTAGTTGAGCCGACCCCCTCAGGTTCGAGTGGTCCAGAGGCTCCAGACGGAGAGGAGCCTCCCCCCGTGGGGAGATGCCATCCGCTTGGAATACCTCTAGAGGCACTCGCCAATTATCGGTTTGAAGTCCCCTTAGGATCTCGCCCTCCCCAAACCCGGTGATGATGTATAGGTCATCTGCGACCAACAGCATATACACGAATTGTGCATGTTTGCGCCTCGGTATTTGATTAAGAGTGATAGTGTAGTTGTGTTAGGTTATGTTTAAAACACAGGATACCATAACACAAACTGAACTGTACATGCACAATTGTTTTCTTAGTTTCACAGAATTTCATAATTGATAAAATTATCACGAATATTTTATTGAAACAAAGGTACACCACGTTGCGTCTCTTTCTACCTTGAAGGATTGACGTAAGGGCATGATTATCTGTTTTCCTCACTCTGCCAGTCTTTAATACTATGTCTTATGGAATGGAATGATTGAGTTATTTTACAGTCAAATTTACACAGCAAAATTAAAACGCAATGTCAAATTATGTAAATAGATTATTAAATAATTGATAATAGTTAAAAATGAGTTAGAAAAATTCGTATATATTGATTTTAAGCACTTAACCGAAAAAAAACATGTGGTCCGTCTGATACCTGGACAGCGAGAACATTTTAGAAAAAAAATCTTTGGAGAAATTTGTCAATCTCAAATGACAATTTGCATAACTTGACCTGTGGCTGTGTGTATTGTGCACATTGATGACTCATCTGTCTGAAGGGAAAACAAATATAAAAAAATATAATCAAAGGTTAGTAGCATTTTTATTTATAACATCAAAAGTACTTCTATAAGTAGGTAAGTACTATCGCCCTTATATTTTTGTCCTAAGTACCGAATCTATATGAACTAAGTGGAAGACTGAACAAAAATAATTAATTTGATAAATAAACTTTAATTACTTGTGATCATGTAACTGTCACTTCGATATAAGTATTTAAGTGTAGGTATCTCTGCATGGCGAGTACTTACCTTATTCGAGTGACGAAAATCCTATTTATATTATAAGTGTGAAAGTTTGTATTTTCGTGTATTTGTTTGTTTGTTACTTAATCACGCAAAAAGTACTGAACGGATTTGGATGAAACAATATTACGCATATAGTTTATAACCTGGATTGAACATAGGATACTCTTCATCCCAGAGAAATGTTAGGTTCCTGTCGGATTTTCAAAAAACTAAAGCCGCTAGTTACCGATATATTTCATTTAACCAGCCAGACCAAGCACATCAACGCTGGCAGCATCAGAATCACATCTCAGTAAAATCTCGAAGTCGTAATATCAAATTCTAATTTTAAAATAAGAACACTCGTAGATTCGTCACGGTGACTGAACTCAAAAATTAAGTTTACTACAGAAATAAGCGGAGTACGCACGAAATTCGCGAGTGCTATATTTAAATCCAATTCTAGAATTCCAATTAAGTGTTTATGTCCTTATAAAATTAGTTCCAGTATTTTAAAAATCGAACACCTCACTCGCCGGCTAACAACAATTATAACAAATCGCTCAATAAAATAATATCGATAAAAACGCGAATAATTTTCAAAACATTCGAATTAACCTTGGCGTAGTCGGAATCGATAATTGTATCGTATAGAGGTCAAACAGCACACTCGAGAAGTCATTTTCGACAATTCGGAAGTGTATAATTAAATTTAAGATGCAGTTACTGAAATACCACACCTGTTTTATAATAACATACTGACACATAAGGCATTTCAATAATTTGAAGTTTGAACAGAGAATAGATTAATCTAGAATGATATTATATTCCAATTAGTGTTTCGATATCGCCATCAACATCAGTTAATATTTTTTTTTGTTAAACTGTTAAGTATTTTAATTATATGTGATTTTATTACTAATTAAGTTATAAAAAAGAATGATTAATTAGTATAATTAGTTATTATTGAAATAAATATTTGTTAATTTATAACCGTATAAAATTGGCAAATTGACATGACGTAATCTTAAAATTTATATATTTTTTAACGATGTAAATAGGAAATGATTTCGTTAAGTCAATAAACAAATTGCTTTAAAATGTATACATCATATGCACAACAATGTGTTACCGATGAGCAGAAACTTGAATGCTTTAAAAATATAAATTAAGGCTTTTATTTGCTACATTTTTAAGTAATCAAAGGCATATTGGTAAGTTGACCGAAAAAATACACTGAACAGCTAATAAATAGGGTCAATTATTACCTCGGAACTCTGATTTTAAACTTACAGCTATCAAAGTAATACATACAGGAAGTGTGTTACATGATGATTAAAGTGAACAGGAATTTATTGAGATTTATCATTATTTTTACCCGACTGCCAAAGAGGGAGGGTAATGTTTAGGGAGTGTATGTAAGTATGTATGTATGTCTGTTCCTTTGTGACCTCCTGTAGCCTAAACGGCTTGATGGATTTTGATGTATGAGGTATCGTTAGATTTGTCTTGATTACGGGAGTGTCATAGGATACATTTTATCCTAAAAGTCCCACGGGATAAAGACATAATAATATTTTTTCTAAATTTCCCTTTAAAAAAATATGTATGCGGTATCATTAGATTCATTTTTAGACTGTCTTAAGGTACTTAATAATTCCCGCGATATTAATTCCCTTACTGAAGTAACAAGACTACGGTATATACCGTCTTAAAATACTAACTAACTAAAAAGTGTGAAATAAAAAAGGTAAATTTAAAAAATCAAAAAACCCGACTGCTTAATTATACTTCAAATAAAAACTGAAAAGAAAAAAACAAGTCCAGTAGTCTATAATTCTGTTAATAAGGAACAAAGCTACTTTAACAGTCGGGACCCACTGTTGAAAAATATTATGTATTCTTGAATATCTAATGGGTCCCGACTGTTAAAGTAGCTTTGTTCCTTATTAACAGAATTATAGACTACTGGACTTGTTTTTTTCTTTTCAGTTTTTATTTGAAGTATAATTAAGCAGTCGGGTTTTTTGATTTTTTAAATTTACCTTTTTTCCAACCATTAGTCGTTTTCGAATAGTGTTAATGGGTAGTTAAAAACTAATATATACTAAACTAATATATAGTTAAAAATAATACACGCCGAGAAAACTACGGACAACAACTTGAGAAATTATGAGAAGAACCAGACTATGTTCATTTTATAAAAAATAACGTTAATCGAAACTTTACTGAAAAATTTGCAAATCGTTAGCATTGTGTTTCTTGCTTGATTACACAGTAAGTTGACAGTACTTTAGAATGAAATTTTATTCATTTTACTTATTATGAAATGCACTTTCTGTAAGTATAACTTCAATCGAAAAAAAAAGAAAATTGAATCAGAGTTCCAATTTGAGTGACCCGGTTTCTTTGCGGGCGATGTATTATCTAGGTAGTATTTTATTTTCTGTATGTTCACAATGGAAGTTAAAAGTTAAAAATTATGATGAAAACTTTGTGTTTTGAATCAGACTTAATTTTGATTTCGAATAAACAAAAAAACTGTTTCCTTCGCCAATTTACTATCGAAAACAAACCTTTATAACTTTATACACATATTTTGACCCATTCCAAGGTAGATACATCTTCTCTATAATTATCGATGGCGTAATATTATTTAAAAGCGTTAAATGCCTCGTATTTGCGCTTCGACATTTTAATATAGGATATGCTACAAGTTGCATAAATTATGGCTTCGATTCTGTGTAACGTAATTATACAGTGAAGTCATTATTTACAATATTAAATGATATAATAGAAAACTTGGAAAATGTTTAACGCAAAGGTTAACCGGTCATTAATTTGTGTGGCTGGAAAAAAACAGTTTAGTCAGTTTCTTATTAATTTCAAGAAAGATAAACTCCCAACATAGATTTTATTAATTGCTTTTAAGTACAATTAATCTAGGCATATTCACAACGTTACACACAATCCAAATATTAACCTACGCATATTGCCACAAAGAACCCTTAATGCCTGACTCGTTTTATAATTCAAGTTTTTTCGCGTAACCCAGATACTGCAATTTTGTTATCCCCGCGGGTTGAACCTGCAGTCATCTGAATATTTCACCCCTGTAAATAATGTTCAGCTTCTCTCAGTTTGACCATAAGTAACCTACGCCGCTTCAAGAATTCGATAACCAAAGTGGCAATCAAAAACTTTTGTCTACAGGAAAACAACATGTAACTTATTAAACCGAAGAAAACTAGAAATAAAAACATGCGTATCAAAGGGAAGGGAGCCGAGTTGCACCCGCATCACCGTCCGCGTGAATATTCCACCCTTGTTTCTATGGCGAATGCTACACACTCGATATGTATCGCGATATTAAACGTGGTATTTATCTAGTAATATTTTCTTATACTA